TTTTGATAACGTTAGTATTGTCAGTGAAATTTGTTTTTATTTTTTAATAAAGCAGTATATCACGGATTTTCATCACATCTAAAAGTGTCAGAATTTATGATTAAGTGTGGCATTGATACTAAATTATTAGTAATAGTTCTGCAAATTTAGGCTGCTATTGATGCAGAACTGGCTGCTCAAGAAGCCGAAAAAGTTGCTGAGGAAGCTAAGAGTGAAAAAGAAAAGGGAATACCAGAACCTGTCGCATTGGAAGTTGAAGAATCGGACATCACTTTTGAAAGCATGGATTTCGAAAGACAAGATCCTGAAAAGTTAGGGAAATAAGCATCAATTGGTAATACGAAGTGGGAGGAAACTTGTTTTGTAATTAAAAGATCTCATTGTATATAGCAGTGTTATGAGAAAATAGAATAACTTAAAATATACCTTCTGAAAAAACTTTGAATTGTTTTTATTCTTTTGGAAATCTTGGATGTAACAGTTCCTTGTTGTTTGTTATTTCCTATGTTTTGGTTCAAGATTTTCCATTTTTTAACTTTACAGATATTTTGATATTGTTGTAAGTTGCAATGAATTCATTTGGTTTATTATTTTTCTTGCTTCCAAGTTATAAAGATTAATTATAGTGGATTTTAATAATATTGTAAGTAAGTAACAAGGAATTGTCGAGTGTAAATTCTATAATGGCTGTATAAAATACAGAAGAACAGAAGATACAAATGTGGGTTGATATTATTGATATGATTGGATTAATTTACACTGCGGTGGGAACGATTTTACTCCCAAGTTCATTCTAGATTGTGTCATTCTGGTTTTTTTTCAGTTATTTTCTGGAGTTGTTGGGTACATGTGTAGAAGGGGGGATGCGTGGTTTTAAAATCTTCGAGGGGTATATTTCTAGTCAGCAATGGTTGTCTTGTTCTTCAGCCCATAGTTTTTGTCGGCAGGAAGGTATATGGAAGCATTGTATGCTGTTGTAATATTAGGCTTTCGAATGATCATGTCATGATAAGATAATTCGCGAATAAGATACGGTAATTCTAAGGTAAGTTAATAAAGGCTTGGTTTAAGAGTTTTGGTTCCGAATGAAGATATCGATCATTTAATTCTTACCTGCAATTATTATTCAGAATGTGTTTTGAGCAAAATGTTGAAAATATAGAAGACTGCGTAGGATCATTATTATTAATAAAAAGTGCGTGAAACATATATTGTAATTTAAAAATGATTTCAGAAATGCACACTAATACTTGCTTTAGTAATAACTTTCTAAAAATGGAACACTCAGTTAATTAATGTCTTCTCCACAATTTTCTAAATTTTTTGGCATAAAATTTGGGAGATTTTAATCATTTTTCTTGATTTGCATGTCACGTCAAAATGAATTCGAAAGAAAATTACTGTTACTGGATCATTTTGCAAATTTAGATCGAAAAAAAGTAATTTAACTAGTAAACCTTGAAGAGGTAATTCTTCACTTGTTAATTTTCACCCTTCAAATCCTTCAAATTTATTAATCAAAATTTATGGCAGTAACAATAGTGATAATATTGATAGTAAAAGTAGTAATAATGATAATATTAACAATAATAATAGTAATATTAGTAGTCAAGATATATAGCTCACTACTTATTCCTTATGTAATTTGCATATTATTCGTATTCTTTTCGTGCATATCACCAATGTAGCAGAATTCTGACGAGTTTTTGAATTCATTTTAACTTTCTAAAAAATTGCAGTAAGAAAAAGATTAATTTGTTTACTTGATTATGCAAGAAAGGAAGAAAATATTAATTCAACTCTAATTTTTTGTAATTTAATCGTAAATTATCGTTTGAAACTGTAAAGTACTGACTAAACAGCATACAACTGCATGATAAAATTTGATAATACTTTTAAGATATTATGCATTTTAGAACATTTAATAAATTTGGAACTATTATTAAGTTGACTAAAGTATTTTAATAATTAAAAAGTACTGTAAAAGGGATGTTGGAGATAAAAGGAGGCAAAACTTCGATACTTGTAATTATTATGACAAGAATATGGATATTGTGGTAATTATATGGTGAAAAAAGAGTATCAGAAAACAAGTTTATTTATTATCACAAATATGAAATAATCATTGCGAGAAACCTGGAACATCATGCATAATATCACGAATATGAAATGTTTTTCTTTTTTGAGGTTTCGGAAGACGTAGAAATTGCTCATTTTGTGAATAACTTTCTGATTCATTTTTAATAGCACAAAATTCTGATTTTGATAACAAATTTTGATCTATGATAGGTTTACTTTGCATGCCTTCATATTTTATATTCTTATTATCATTCATTTGTAATGTTTCAATTCGATTTTGTATTTTTAAATTTGAATTTTCAGTACTTAAAACTGTTGAAGTAAGTATTTGAGAATCATTTGGTGATGCTTTTTTAATTGAAACATTTTTTAATGAACACAATCTTTCATGGCGTAATTTGCCTGAATAATTATACAATACTCGATCACAATGAAAACATTTAAAACGTTTAATAGTTGAGTGATAATAACTAAAATGACAGTCTAAATCATACGCAGAACTGAATCGACTAGTACACATCATACATTCATGTGGTTTTTCATGAATTTTTGAATGTCCTAAAATTTTATTTAAAAATTATTTATCACTTAAAGATTGATGAATTTTAATAATAAAATTAAAAAATATTTTCTTTTTTTTAAAATAATAAATCGTCAAAATAGAATTTATTAATTTTGTTAAAATTAACTATTAAAATTATAAATAATTTTATTATGCATAAAAATATAATTAAAAACTTACTACTTAAGGCACTTTGTCCCGATAAATGCTTATTGCAAATTGTACAACGGAATAATTTGCCTTTATGTTTTGCTAAATGTTCTTTGAAATTGTAAAAAGTTTCATATGTTCGATCACATTGATTGCATTCAAATAATTTTCTACCATTACTATTTCTATTGATCAGATCAGAATCCATTGCTAAAATTTACATAATAATACAAATAATACAAACTATTGTTCATTTTATTTTAATTAACACTTTCGGTCAAAGGTTAATTTGAAAAAATTTTTTTCACGCAAAATATTTTTTTACCTGAATGCTTTTTTAATTCATGAGCTCGCATGCGTTTTTCAGATACAAATGTTCTTGCACATTTTTCACATTCATATTTTCGTTCATGATGCACCATAATATGATCCTATACTTCGTTCATTATTATTTTATGATTTATTTTATATTCTAAATAACAAAAATGAAAGCATTTTTTT